TTTTACGTACGCGATAATTTTGCCCTTAATGTCCCATGGAGCGGTTCGTGCGTAAGCGGATTAGCGGATCGCCAATTACTGTTAGATCTGCTTGCAAAATTTGCAGCATGATCTAACAGAATGATGTTGTAATTGGCGATCCGCTAATCCGCTTACGCACGAACCGCTCCATGGGACATTAAGGGCAAAATTATCGCGATGCTTCTGATTGGTTACGCGGTTACGCGATACGCGGCAAATACGCTTCATGGGACTCCACCCTACCTTTTTCCATCGCGTATATATGAGCGGATGATCGAATAAATTATTAAAATCTTATTCGACGCGTTTTTGCATGAAACGAAAAAATCTGGCAAAAAAAACGTCGTTCTGCCTTGTGATCTGAGATATTAAGCGTTAAAGTTGATGACTATTGAGGTTAGGAAATCTGTCACAAGAGGCAAAATGGGGTCTATAATTGTACTGTTCCACATGGGTTTCGACTTTTCACGCGATGCAAAGGAGCGCACGACTTTTATAATTGTACTGTTGCAAAATCGAAACCCTTGTTCATTTTTTCAATCAGAATATAAACTAAAATGAGCCAGAAATTACATTCGACGCATGGTGGTTCCATCATGTTTCGGCGTAACAACAAAATAGCGTAAAAAGCACGAAGTGACTAGACAGAACTGATGTTCAAATGAAATGATATGATTGGTCGGCGCAAGTTATGCTTACGCAAGTTATGCCGCATGTGACGGCACCCTAACTCCAACATGCACCAACATGCTCCTATTCACTTTATCAAGCGCGTTGGAGTGAGTAAGAGCTATGTGAGTAGGAGCGTATTGGAACATGCGACGCGAACAAACCTACAGTCAGATACTGGGTGCATTCAGGGGGTCGATTCTGTATTTTGAAACGAGGTTAAAATTACAAAAGTGATCGAATTTACTAGAATGCTTGTCATTTCATTGGTCAACACCTAGTAAATTTGCTCATTTTTGTGATTTTCACCTCGTTTAAAGATACAGAATCGACCCCCAGGGGCTCTATTCTTGAAAAGAAACGTATACGAAAATCTAGGGAAATGCTATAGTATACGTTACGTACAACCGCTCACTGAGCGCTCAATGCATCCATTGTGTAACACATTGAATCATTTCATCCTTGTTTAACGTAGGCAAACAATAAGGATGCAATAATACACTGTGTTAGGCGTCGTCTACAATACACGGAATAAGAAGTAAGAGTAAGAAATTGACCAATCACAGTCGATTATTCTTCTCACATTCGACTGTGATTGGTCAATTTCTTACTCTTACTTCTTACTCCATGTATTGTAGACGGGCCTTTAGGGGCTCCGCACAATAAAAGGAACAGGGAACAGAGGGGTGATCCCGATTGATCACGGCTCGATTGGACACCACCAATCATAGTGCCAATTGAGCCGTGTCCAACTGGGTGCCACCCGTTCCCGCGTGGCACTCAGTTGGACACGAGCCACTCACAGCGTCTGAGACTACAAAGCTCCTAAGCACCGGTCGCTGTTATTGGTGGTGTCCAATCGAGACTTGGTCAATCGGGATCACCCCCCCGGGAACAGAGAACAGAGAATAAGAATTTCAACCTATCAGAAACTGTGTATTCCACAATACATGATTTCTGATAGGTTGAAATTCTTATTCTCTGTTCCCTGTTCCTTTTATTGTGCGGAGCCCCTTATTCTCTGTTCTCTGTTCCTTTTATTGTGCAGAGCCCCTATTACTGGCTGCGTTCAGCAGACTCAGCAGTTTTGCAATCGTTTTATGATTCGTCGCGCTGATTGGATTATACTTTTAGATTTAAAGGAATAGTCCCATCTCAGCGAAGAATCACAAAATAGTTGCAAAACTGTTGAATCTGCTGAACGCAGCCACTGTGTCTGATTGTGTTCTTGCTGGAAAGCACCCAATTGCAGTTAGTGTGGAACGCTTGTCATTGGTTTTGCTCTTGTTTCGTGTTACGCTGTTCCACTGGGTAGACACCATAAGCTTGCGCCTTTACGCCTTGCCGTGTGGACGACCTTAATAATAATAATAATAATAATAAATGTAGTTATTACTATCACAACCGTCATCATCTTCAGTAATTGTAAATTTGATTACTTAACATCTATTACACATCAGGTGTCTAAAATCTTTTTGGGTAAGCCCCAGCTCTTTTCTACCGATAACCAACAATAATTGGCTAGTAATTGGAATGTATGATAAAATCGTGATCGCTATTGACACGATATTTTCCATACGCAAATTTTTTTTAGAATAGTAATAAAACGGAAAGGAAATGCTGGTAATTGTTTAGAATCCCCCCCCCCCCTTCATTTCTGATTTTGAAATTAGGCTTATTCACGCGTTTCTGCATGAAACAAAGGAATTTGGCCGAAAAATATGCGACATAGTCCCGCGAAGTGAGATGTTAATAATTAAAATTGACTATTTTGGCCGCGCCTTGGAGGGGAGCGGGAAGGGGAGAAGAACGTAATCCTCCACAATGCTCCACAATCACAAAATATGTACATATGTGCGAAGGGTTTCTGCTTCCACTCTTCCATAAAACTGAAGTCAATTTTGTAAAATCAAATCTCGCTTTGCATGCCAAGTTGGAAAACCTCAAATGATTCCACTTTCCACACGAGGGAAGTCTTTTTTATGGCTGATAGACTTGCAACCCAAATCGTCAACTTTATTATTAATATCTCGTTTTGCAGGGCAGTGTCGCATTTTTTTCGGCCAAATTTTTTCATTTCATACAGAAACGTGTCGAATGAGCCTAATTTTATCAAATTCAGAGGTAAGGAATTCTAAACAATTATTGAAATACGTAATCTTGTTACGAAATAATTTACGAGATCGTCACCCTCGTCATTTTTCCCGATTTGATAGAGTTTGCCAAGTTGAATCTTGAATCATCATTCATTATCAGTATTTTATGACATAATCGTTGGTTATATTGTCTCTGATATTTGAGAAGAAAGGCGGGAATCATTAAGATTAGAATTGGAAATTGGAGGTATTTTAAGGTATTTATATTTCAAGGCAGAACATGAATTATATTATAAATAACATGAGTTTTATTGATTAAATTAAAAAAATTTTAAAGTGAGTGAAGAATCAATATCTGAAAATCTGCTAAAATCTATAACATAGTTCAACAAGAGATGTTCTAAGAACGTCCAGAGGATGTTCTATATCCTAAAGCCATCCTTCAGAGAACTGTATTGTGTAGGGAATTAAAAAAATTAAATTAGATTGTATTCTATTTGCATTTATAATGTAATGAGGTTTCCTAATAATATATATCTTTACCTTCATACTTTGACATCTTGTTTTATAAATTTATATATTTGTATAACAAAGTGAATGTGCGCTCGTAAATCATTTCTAATCAAACAAGCTGTTGAGTTACATAAAGGAGCTGTTTGATTTCATAATTTAATAATTTAAATTCTTTTAGCGCACAGTTTGTGGTTTAAGTAAGGAAATTGTGTCCAGCAGATGTATATAATCATACACACGGCAACACAATGAAGTGCCACTACGAAGTATTAGGAGTTGCAAGAGATGCCCCTGATGATGAAATAAAAAAGGCATACAGGAAGCTAGCATTGAAATGGCATCCAGACAAGAATCTCGAAAGCCCAGATGAAGCTAAAGAACAGTTCCAGTTTGTCCAACAGGCGTGGGAAATATTGAGCGACCCCCACGAACGTGCTTGGTACGACAATCATCGAGAGGCCATCCTGAAGGGTGGTATCGGAGAGGATTACAAGGATGACTCCATTAATCTTTTCCCATATTTCTCTCTCTCATGCTTCAAAGGTTATGGAGACGATGAGAAGAGTTTCTATACCATCTACAGAAACGTTTTTGAGCAATTGGCAGCGGAGGACGCCGAGTTTGCCAAAGACAGTGAGTCCGACGAAGAGGTTCCCAGCTTCGGTGACTCCCAGAGCTCATACGAAGATGTGGTAGGCGATTTCTACGCTTACTGGCAGAGTTATAGCACCAAGCGATCCTACGCTTGGCTGGATCCATATGATATACGTGAAATGCGGAATCGACGCATTCTCAGAATCGCCGAGAAAGAGAACAAGAAAGTGCGCGATAAGGCGAGGCGTGAGAGGAATGAGCAGGTGCGGAATTTAGTCGCCTTTGTCCGCAAACGCGACAAGCGAGTACAAGCATACGCAGCGAAGCTGGCCGAACGTGCTCGCGAGAACTTCCGCAAGGCAGAGGAGCGAAGGAAGGCACAACTGTTGGAGAGGCAGAAACTATTACGGGATCAGATCGAATCTGAATGGTCCAAGTTCTCGAACATGGAAGCAGAGCTGAAGAACATTGAGGCGAATCTGACGGCAGAATTTGGAACAGATGACAGAAAAGTAACAACAAGAAATAGCGATCCAGAAGCGTTTTATTGTATCGCCTGTGATAAGGTTTTCCAAACGCACAAAGCCTTTACGAATCATGAGAATTCAAAAAAACATAAAGAAAATGTCAGCACACTCAAGTACGTTATACCGAACGAGGTCGAGGATGAGGATCTCCAGGATAGCTCTCGGGAAAGCGATTCGAGTACAAAAGAAGAATCAGTTTCGCTAAATGGACCCAGATTGGCAACAGATTCACAGATGTCCGATTTCTTGTTAAACTTTCCTTGTAGCGAGAAGGACTCAAGACGGAACGATGACAAGGATAATAGTAATATCTCTCCTGCCGAATTGATGTCAGACAATGAGGAAAATCCAGAATGTCCTCAATTGACAGTCGATAAAAAGAAGATAAACAACTATGAAGATGTCCTATTGGCTGCAGCACCAGAGATGGGCGAAAGTACATCATTTTCATCTAAAGTAGAAAATGAAGATGATGACATAACATCCGAGGACGAATTAATGTCTGATCAAGACGAAGACGGCGCATTGTCTAGTCGTCAGAAGAAAAAGAAGAAGAGAAAACGTAATATTCAGAATCCTAATCCTATGCTTGAACTTGCTAGTGATGACGACACGGAGAGCATTAAGGAGGAAATATGGCTGTCGAAAAAACAACGAAAAAAGTTACAACAGAGAAAAGTGGAAATAAATAAACAGTTGCGAAAGGAAGAGACGCGTAAAGAAGAGGAACAAGAAACAGAGGAAACAGAAAGTGGAGTGATGGAAGAAGCAAGTGTTATTAATGAAAGACTAAAAACCGACAAAGCAAAGAAAAATTCTAAAAAAGAGGAACGAGAGAACAGGGGCAAAAATAAAAAGGATCCAATCACGAATATGGATGAATTGGCTCATCGCTGTGTTTCTTGCTCATCCGAGTTTCCTAGCAAAAATAAACTATTTGAGCATTTAAAGAAAACTGGACACTCCGTATATATACCAGAATTATCGAAAAATAAAAAAAGCCAAGAGAAGAAGAAAAAAGCAACATCTAAAGAAAAAGATGACTCAGATAAGAAAAAACGTTGAATCCAACTTATTAAGAAATGTCAAATTATTATCGTAATTAAATAATAACAGTTTAATTTGTTGTAATTGATATGAAAGATGTCTTATATGTATGATACATACCCCCTCAGGATTCTATATAGGAATTACGTTTTTGTGTACATATCTTGTACAAAGACCTATTAAAATACTTTTAGTTTAGTTAGTGATGACACCTCCAATTTCTTTAAGACAATATTATCAATTCAGATACTATCAGATCAGACGATGATTAGCAATCGAATGTAAATGTGTTTCGACAAGCTGTAAGAATGAAAATTATATATCGTAAATATACAATGTAACTAGTTTCATTATAATTAGTTGTATTATAAATATCCATTAATAAATATCAATACCATTTATCATTAAATTAATATTGTTTTCATTCTTTATCATATCAACGTGCTATTTATTTTTTCATTCTATATTTTAAGTTTAACGAAATATTCACTTAATTGACTGTTTTTCCTAAGCATGGACAACTATTTTCCAATCAAAAGTTTCAATGATTAGGATTTACTTGTGTGCATTAGATTATTTCCTAAGAAAATAAAAATATTTTATACAATAGTACAAAGAAATATTTGCGTTTTTCAGGATGTGCAATCTCTTGCTATAGATGCCACGACTATAAGCATAATACATATAAATGAATATTATTCATTACGCTGTTAATCACAGGTGAGATGCACATTTAAAGATAACGAGCAGTTACATCTTATTTGAGCTGTTTAATTTCAAAGTGGCATAATTAAGTCTTCAAAGTAAAATATAATCGGGATATAAAGTAATATGATATACACAAGATAAAAAAATAACATGATATATTTTAATAAATTTTACAAAACCTATATACACGTCGCTTTGCAATATAACAGCAGGTAATATTATGTAATAACACATGCATCTACAAACTTTCTGTAGGAAGTGAAACTGAAATTTCTTCAAGGTCACACACTATGGCTGCCAAAAAACTCGTTTACCCTGCGGCGGACCGTAATAAGGATCCAATATTATCGGTTTTAAAACGATATATCCAACCTGGCACAAATCAGACCCTCCTGGAGATATCCTCCGGTACGGGACAACACGTGGCACATTTCGCACCGCATTTTCCACAAGTTACGTTTTATCCCTCGGAATACGACCCAAAACTTCTGGATAGCATCGCTGCGTACGCGAATGGATACTCTAATATAAAAAGCCCTATTAGAATTGACATCACCACTGACTATCGGCTGTGGGGTAACGGTATCTTCAAACCGAACAGTTTAGAATATATATATAATGCGAACATGATACATATTTCGCCGTACCAGTGTACTATTGGTTTATTTAACAATGTGAATCAATTGCTGAAGCCAAATGGATTACTAATCACCTACGGACCATATGCTTTTGATGGTCAAATCACTCCGCAGAGTAATGTAGATTTCAACGAGTCCTTGAAATTGCAGGATCCAAGTTGGGGTTTGCGAGATGTAACAGTTTTGAAAAAATTAGCTGAAGAGAATAATATTAGATTAATAGAAATCGTAGATATGCCCGCTAATAATAAAACGATAATTTGGAAAAAATGTGCTCATTCATAAGTAATCGAAACTCATCAGGTTTGTCATATAATTGAACAAAAAATTGTCGCTAATTGTAAGCTTAAATATATATATATGTATAAATTTATTTTTTATTCTACAAAGTTAAAGCATCACTTTTTTTTATCGCACAAGTGCGTGATTGTTACAAATATGTTTAATACTGCTACAATATTATATACATCCTGTATACATACGCATATAACTATTAAAAATAATTAAATAAAAATATTTTATATATACATATACATATATATGCGTATGATGCTAAATTTACGTCTATGTTTAAAATTTTAATTCCTGAGAGACCTAAGATTTTAATATAAAATTTATAAAATATAATAAGAATAATAATAAGATTGAAAATAAGACCGTTTATGTTAGAAACATTACTTTAAATACGAAGCGCCACTACAGTCTGAATGTTAAGATGTTGGAATTATTATATATATTCATTTAAATGAATTAATTTAAGAAATTATAATTGCGTGCCGATATGTTGTCGGACTTTCAACGCAATCTGAAATATTAATAATTCCCCCAAATTTCCCAAATTTAATCTTAAAAAACTGTAATAAACTTATTGCGAAAAATGTTGCCTCGGCCGGGAGTCGAACCCAGATCTCTTGCATTCCGTGCGAGCGTCCTAAGCCTTTAGACCACCGAGACTAATAAGAATACCTTTTTGTAATAAAAAAATAATACAATACAAAGACAAAATATATCTAAACTGAAGCATTTACCACAGCATTTCTAATTATCGTCATCATCTCCAAAGAAATCTAAATCTTCCAATCCCTCTGGCAGGTAACTTAATCCAGATTCATCCTTGTTCATCATATTATATCCCTTACCATATCCTAAAATAATTATTTGATTTATCAAGAGCAAATTGATACGAAAAATAAAATAATTACCCAAATCTTTCATGAGTCTTGTGGGGGCATTCCTCAAATGCAAAGGCACTCCTGGTTGTGGACCTTTATGCTCAGCTATTACTTTTTGAGCAGCTCTAAGTGCATCTTCCATTAATCTGGATTTTGGTGCTCTCGCTAAATATGTCGTACATTGTGCCAAGAGAACATCACACTCCGGCATTCCGATCATTTTGCAACCGTGCATCGTATGCACTGCTATTCCTGTACACAATATTTATTATCAAATATATTTGTCAGATCTAGTAAAGCCTAAGTGTGTTATCACAAATATTAATCATTCTTCAAATCTATTATACAAGGTGGTTACTAAGTACTTTAAAAGATTTAAGGGGTGATTTCTTATACTATATAATTTAACGGAGAGCAGAAATTTTCGAAGGTTTTGCTACCGCTCAGGGCCCAGGAGTCGTTTTATTTCTATGTTTTCTTATATATGTCTTTACGTAGAAACCGAAAATAATCATTATAATAACGCTAGACTTAAAGAAAAATTAGTACATCGAAATAAAATGAATTTGTATGAGGAATCATCCCTTAAATCTTTTAGAATGCTTAGTAATCACCCTGTTTACAATGATGTATTTCCAATTATTAAAATATAAAATATATATTTTATGTGCGTGAGTTCAAAAATCGTAAATAAACGATTTACTAACCAAGAGCTTTTGGATCAGCTAAACCGATATCTTCGCTAGCCATCCTCACCAATCTTCGCGCGATATAAACCGGATCCTCACCGCCGGCGATCATTCTAGTCAGCCAATAAAGCGAAGCATTTTCGTCGCTGGCTCTGACAGACTTATGTAACGCAGAAATCGTATCATAATGTTGCTCGCCTTTCTTGTCGTACAACATATGCGTTTTCTTTAGGCTTTCCTTAATGTCATCAAGCGTTATTATGGCTGGACCAACGTCTAGAAATTCCTTCTCATTTGGTGCTTTGCATCGTACTGCCATCTCTAGTCCTCCCAGCGCTATTCGAGCATCACCATCGCAAGTTTCAGCCAACCACTCTATTGTCGGTTCATCTATAATGAATTTTGTATTGCAGGATGGTTCCATCTCGATGACTTTGTTTTCCTCTAGCATGTTTTCTTCACCGATATCTTGCAAAGTACTTTCGCTTTTATTCGGAGATGCATGTATTATACCTCCCTGCGAAATTACTGCACGCTTCAAGATCGATAGCAGATTTGCGATAGATAACTTGTGCAAAACAATCACTCTGCATCGACTCAGCAATGCAGAATTTAAACTGAACGAGGGATTTTCTGTCGTGGCCCCGATTAAAGTAATGATTCCCGACTCGACGTGCGGCAGAAACACATCTTGTTGCATCTTGTTGAATCTATGTATCTCATCCATGAACACTATCGTATGCTGCGCATATTTAGCATGGTTACTAGCGATACTAATGACTTCCTTCACTTCCTGGACACCGGCCATCGCAGCAGAGAGCTTAACATATCGTAGTTTGCGACTAGCATCATTTTTACACATGTGCGCGATGACATTAGCCAAAGACGTCTACAAAAACGAGAAAGAAACTAAATATATGTTCCAATATACATAGAAAATTCCAAGGACATGCAATAATACTTTGCCACATCCAGGCGGACCCCAGAGAATCATATTAGGTATTTCGCCTTTTTGCAAGAGTTCGGAGAGCATGGTGCGAGGTCCGAGGATATGTCTTTGGCCTACAAAGTTTAGTAGCGACGTAGGTCTCATTTGTTCTGCGAGGGGTACATCCCGTCCGTTTCCGCGCAACTTTTTGCATTCATTTTCTGTCTATAAAAAAAAAGTTATTTTTTTATATATAAGAATATCTCTATAGGAAAAATTGCAATGCAGAAAAATTTGATTAAACATGTTACAAAATACAAAATTGAGTATTATAATTTTGTATGTCATTTATGTAATTGTGTAAATTTATTTTATTACACTATAATTATAGTTTTAGA